GGTTCAGGTTCTGTAGTTTCCCCATCGGAGTGTTGCTCTTTTAAGATTTTTGAAAGCATGCTCCACACTTGGTCCCTCTCAGATTTTAGAAGGCACTTCAGATTCTTAAATCTTGGGTCAAGTGCTGTAGCTATCTTTAGAAATTTCACATTGGTGTCTTCTTTGCATTTTGTCAAATCTGCAGTGAAAGTGTTCTTAAAGCAAACAACATGTGCTGGGTCATCATCCAAGACTGCTATAATGTGAAATATATGGCAGAATGCGGGTAAAACAGAGCAAAGGACATACAATTGTCCCCCAAAGACTTCAGTCACAAATTTGATTAACGCATTTTTTTTTTTTTAAACAAGCGTCATCAGCATGGAAGCATGTCCTCTGGAATGGTGGCCGAAGCATGAAGGGGCATATGAATCCTTAGTGCATCTAGCACGTAAATATCTTGCGACGCCAGCTACAAAAGTGCTATGCAAATACCTGTTCTCACTTTCTGGTGACATTGTAAATAAGAAGAGGGCAGCTTTATCTCATGTAAATGTAAACAAACTTGTTTGTCTTAGCCCTTGGCTGAACAAGAAGTAGGACTGAATGGACTTGTAGGCTCTGAAGTTTTACATTGTTTTGTTCTTGAGTGCAGTTATGTAACAAAAAAAAATCTACATTTGTAAGTTGCACTTTCACGACAAAGAGATTGCACTACAGTATTTGTATGAGGCGAATTGAAAAATGCTATTTCTTTTGTCATTGTTGCAGTTTAAATATTTGTAATTAAAAATAATATATACTTTGTATTCTGTTTTGTATTTGAAATCAATAGATACGAAAATATTTAATAAATTTAAATTGGTATTCTGTTGTTTAACAGTGCAATTAAAATGGCAATTAATTGCGATTAATTTTTTTAATCATGATTAATTTTTTTGAGTTAATCACATGAGTTAACTGTGATTAATCGACAGCCCTAATTTTAAAGTCTCTAATGACCTCTTCCTGGTCATATCTCAGGGCATCTATTCCCTCATCATCATCTGTGATATCGTCTGAGCCACATTTGACCCCATACCCATTTGTACTTCTCAAAAATCATGTCCTCTTTTGGTTTTTAAGATTCCTTTCTCTCCTTGTTATCCTCCTGCCGCTCTTCAATGTCTTGTTTAGTGGGTCCTCCTCCTTTCCTCTCTTTCAGTGGGTGACCCATAGGACTTTGTCCTCAAACTCCTCATCCCTTTCTATCTCTCTCTGTGTATATATCTATCACCTCAAACAATATCTCATCCACTCACACACCTTCAATCGTCATCTGTATGCTGACGACTCATAAATTTACCTTTCTTCTCCTGACCTCTGTTCCTCCATCCAAAACTACCTTGTCTCCCTGAAATTATCTCATGGATGTCCAGGCAGCTGTTTAAACTCAATATGCCCCAAACTGAGCTTCTCATCTAACTTCTCGAGCCCTCTCTTCTCCCCACTTTTTCTGTGACTGTTGACATCATCATCTGCACAGTCATCCAAGCTGTAACTGGAGCATCATCTTCAAACTTCACATCCAGGCTGTGTTGAAATGTCATTCCTTTTTAAAAAACATTTCAAGATCCAGACTTTCATCTTTGCTGTTTTACTTGGGACTTGTAAGCACTACTCTAGTACTGATCACAACAAAAATACACTTTGCCTTCTATTATTGATGGAAAAGATGTTTCATATTTCTTGAGAGAAATGGGTGTTCTGGATATAGTCAATGATTTCATTTATCCCCAAAATGTTTTACTGCAATAATTTACCCCTCCCCAACATGATCAGTTAAAATATGGTATTGTTTGTTATAAACGGGGGGGGGGGGAATGTTGTATATGGGTATAAAGCCTGAGATCCTATCTCCCACTAGCCTAGTGGCAAAGGACAATGATAGCCCAGCAACCGAACAGGCCTTGCCATCCTGGTGGGGCATAATCAGTCGATTTCACTCAGTTCTATTCTCACCTGGCACCAGTTTGAGTGCTCAAGCTCCTGGTAAAGTGGAGAGACAACTTGATCATCTGACAGTGGTCTTGTCTCTGGAATCCTCACCAGTGCACATACAGAGTGCATGCTTTATACTGTGTTAAGCATCTATACAGTATGCATGATTCATCACACCAGGCAACCCTGGGAGGGCTGACAGAACATGCACGTAGGAGCAGCTTGGAAAGAAGAGTGATTAGTGCCACCTTGAATTTTCCCTGATTGTCTAATTCTAGTGTTCCCTGACTTTCTGAAAGTAATGACCAGAGGTTGAGTAAGTTCATTTGTTAATTCCCTCAAAAACTCTGAGACACATCACCTGGCTCAGCTGATTTGCATACACACTGGTTATTTTCATCAAGTTTCCTGTCCCCCCCTACCCCCATCAGTAGCTATAGCTGTAGCTAGGTTACACTTTATTGAACAGAGCTCATTCCACTCAGGTCAAACGGATCACCCCGCGAACGAAGGTGACCTGCAAGGATTCTGTGTGCTTTGCACAGGAAAATTCAGCTCTGTCTTTAAGACAACAAATAAATAGAAGCAGAGTGAAACAATTCCGACAAAAGACCTGATATGCACACAGTGTGACTGTTTCAAAATGGATTACTGTTTGCAAACCCCATCTTCGTGATGCACGTAGAACGGGTTCTAAATGTCACTACAACGGTAAAACGAAGAGATAACCAAGACCATTCCCGTTCGTTTGAATGAATCAAACACACTCAGTGCGGCTTTCCCTTCAGCACCAACCCAAGAAACAAACGGCGCTACAGCAGATCTTCAGAGAGAAAAGAAGGGGAAATGCAAGAGACCAGCCAGTCCCCACCCCGCACCCTCGGGTTTTACAAGCAAAGAGAGCGAGTCGCCTGTTATTTATGTTTAGCGGCAGTCAGGTTACCCCCTCGCACCCCCATATTGAGGGATTAGCGCAGAAACCAACAGCCTTTACCTTAATTCTCACGTAGCAGTGGGTGCCCAAGGAGGGATCACTGAGGCAGGCTGGAGGATTCTCCCGGATGATCCGCTGGAAGGTCTTGCCTGGACTCCTTCCGATGCTCCACAAAAGTTTCAGCAGCTCTATGCAGGCGCAGGCTGCGCAGTAGCTATACACCAGCGCCCAGAAGAGCAGAGCCCTGACCGTCACCATGAACCCGCCCGGGAGCCACGGTAAACAACCAGCGGGGCTCGCCATTAGGCGGCGGCTGCTCCTCTCGATCCTCCCTCCCCGGCAGCGTCAGGGGATGGGCTCCGCGGCAGGGAGCGCAGCGCGGCACCAGGCAGGAGCCGCCGCCGGCAGCCGCGTGAGCGGGGCCGGAGCCCAGCCCAGGAGAGGCCGGCACGTCTGCCTCACGCCAGCGGCAGGGAGCCGGCCAGCAGCAGCCGGCGTGACCGAGAGCAGCCAGGCGGGAGGCTGGCTCCTGCAGCCGGGCGGGGCAGCCCCCCTGCTCCCAGCACCACGCTGGGGGGGGGGCAGGCACAGGGTCCTCGGCTCCCTCCGCTTCCCTCCCGGCCCCTTCGCCCCCGCCCAACAGCGGGAATGGCGCAGAGGGCCTCCCCGCAGCCCCCGGCTCCAAGGCAGGTCAGCCGCAAGCAGCCCCGTGCGCTGCGCACCTACCTTGGCAGAGGTAGCCCGACCCCCGCTCCTGTGCCCCAGCCGGGCGCCGTCAGCCCAGCGTGCAGCCCCAGGCTCGCCCGGGTCAGCCTAGGGTGTTATAGCCCCCGAACCAGGGGGCAGCTCCGCCCCGAGTCCCCAGGCTGGACTTGGGGGGACTCAGCCAGCCCAGGGCAGCCTCGAAGAGCAACCTCGCTCGTCACCTACTGTGAGGTAGGAAAAATATCCTCGCTGCTCAGCTGGGGAGCTGCGACATTACCTGACCTTAGCTAGGTCCCTCAGAAAGTCAGTGGCAGAGTTGGGAATTAAATCTACTCGTACTCTCCCTCCCGGTGCCGTGTCTTAACTGCAGCCCTACCCTTCATCGCCCTTGGTTTACCACTCCATGCGCAAGGCCCTGTGTGTAACAGGAGTACACAGAAGCACAGGTTACTGCATCAGGGTGCACTGGTTTTTAAATTGTTTCGGAGGGTTAAGAATTTACGTTTTCATTAAAATGTTAAATGCCCAAATCATATGTATGATCCATAAACTGATGTAGTGATGTAGGCTTAAGGGTGCAGCCAAATAATGGATCTTAATTCATCTGAATGGGGTATTAAACCGGGCTGCTCTTAATTCATCTGAATGGGGTATTAAACCTGAAGTCAAACAGTAGCTACTCTGTTCGATAGAGGCAGTTAGACAGTAGATCTATCATGGCAGAGTAAATATCCGCTCCCTACCTGAGAGTGTGATTTGCTAGAGCAGAGGCAGATAGAGGCTATAAGGAGGCACAAGCAGACAGCTAGAAGGTAGGAAGTTCTAAATTGTAATTAGGATGTTGCAACCCCTTTGATTTATGTACATATTAGCAAGTCCTTTTCCCCTCTAGTTGTACTATTTTAGTATAACTGCAATCATATTCTGATCCTGATTTGGGCTGCTACATATTGGGTACTTTAAAAAAAAACAAACAGAACAGTATTTTAAAGGTTAAGAGACAGATTGATCAGATGCATACAACCGTTTTAGTTCCAATGAATTTCTTTGCATACAAAATATGAATGATTAGGTAAGCACTCTAGCTTGCCTGCTCTTTCAAGCAATCTCTGCTATAAAATACATGAACAAAACAGTTAACATTTTTAACGAAGTAGAGGCAGGTTAAGTGGACAGAATTTGGCAAATGAAAGTGTAAGTCAAGTACAGAAAATGAAAACGTTCCACAAATGGAGTTCTTTAAATACAAATTATTTCCAGATAGTATATATGGTCATTACAAGGTCTTTGCACAGTCCAGTTTTTATTAAATAGCACATTTATGTATTAATTAAAAAAGTGATATCTTCACTATTTAATCAAAATAAAACACTTCTGAAGACACAAAGTTGTTATGGTTTGGATAACTTCTCCAAAAGTATTATTTAACACCACATGTAAATGCGGTGTATATAACCAGAAACAGCCAGTGAAAACAAGAAAATAAATCAGCTGTGGGCAGTATATTTTTAAAAAAGCTTCTGGAATGGTTGTGAAAGATAATTGCTTTTAAAAGTTCTAAATTAAAAAACAGGGAGAGATATTCCAAAAAAATCTCCACAATGTATTTTGATAAGTAAAATGTATATGCAATCAAACATGACCGTGCTCAACTAGCTAGCAACAAGTAGATTTGACAGATTATAAATGCAAGCAACAAAAATACCCTGTGATGTGTTATGTGTCAATGCATAATTTTAATATTTAACAGTGCTATGCAAATTAAACATACTATAGCAGTTTACAGCTCTTCAAAGTGGTCTAAACAATATACTGTTGAGATAGATAAATAGCACACATGTTTTTAGCACTTGTATCAAGTTTATTGTACCATTGCATTTAGTACAATGTCACTCAGGGACTGTGGCCAGGTTGCAACTTTTTCTAGTGTCCAAAATTCCACTAAAGATTTTCTTCGAAAGTTGCCATTATGTCACTCTGCAGGTTCATGTCAATGGTACCAGTCATCTATGGGAAAATGAATTAACAGGTTTCATAATTGAGTTATCACAGACAAAAGGAATACCATAATAAGTGACAGCACACCTATTGCTGGTTTATAGTGGCATCCACAATGGTAGCACTAGGCATTGCTACCATTGTGGATGCATTGGTATGCATTAAAAGGAACTGCATTAAAAGGAACTTAAATTTAAAAAAAATTAAAGTAACATGTCCACTTCCTTTTCTCATCATTGCATGTGGACTTCAATATGTATCAAAAACATTCTGTTTTTAAAGTCGGCCTAAATCCTGTGGTTGTGACATCAACCACTTCATGGTATCAGGTTGCAAGACTTTTAAAGAATTTGATAGTTGGAAGTGAATTGAAAAGGCAAGCACTTCTGATTAGAAAGACATTTCTGTAACCAATGGTGATGGGAGAGAAAGATAAGATGGTTATTTACCTACTCTAATAGGACTAGAGGGAATTTCTCTTTTTTAAAATTGATCTGCAATACCAACATTAAGTCCAAAACACACATACTAAAGGACCACAGATGGACAATATACAAGACTTCTTTCTGCTCTGAGATATTCAGAGACCAGAATTCTTGTAACCTTAATTTTGCTGTCTTTTAATATTCTGATCTGATGAGCACTGTAGGTCATATACACACACACCCCCACCCCTTGGGTGGTGAGAATGTTTTGTTTTTGTAGGTTTCAGAGGAACAGCCGTGTTAGTCTGTATTCGCAAAAAGAAAAGGAGTACTTGTGGCACCTTAGAGACTAACCAATTTATTTGAGCATGAGCTTTCGTGAGCTACAGCTCACTTCATCAGATGTATACCGTGGAAACTGCAGCAGACTTTATATACACACAGAGAATATGAAACAATACCTCCTCCCACCCCACAGCAGGACAGTGGGGTGGGAGGAGGTATTGTTTCATATTCTCTGTGTGTATATAAAGTCTGCTGCAGTTTCCACGGTATACATCTGATGAAGTGAGCTGTAGCTCACGAAAGCTCATGCTCAAATAAATTGGTTAGTCTCTAAGGTGCCACAAGTACTCCTTTTCTTTTTGTTTTTGTAGGGTTGTTCTGCTGCACAATCATTGATGTTACTATGTCTGCTTTTGTGCGTGTGTATGTCCTCGAAGAGTCTGACAGCTGTCAACATTTGAAAGTTTCAGATTAAGGTAGGGTATGAATTTAAATGCAATACCTATTCCAGAGTAGTTTACCCTGTGGACACACTAATTTACTTCAGATTAACCTAAACTGGAAAAGCACACTCTTATTCCAGAATTAGAGTGTCTACCCAGGAAAATATTCTGGAACAGGTATGGTGGAATAGCTATTCCACAATAGCCAATCTGGTAACTCTGGGGAGCCTAGAGTCGCAGATGCCAAAGCCCTGATCCAAAGTCCACTGTAGTCTATGGGAGTCTTTCCGTCAACTTCTATGGGCTTTGGAGCAGGCTCTAAAAGACAGGTGATTGTAGTGACATTTACACTTTCTAAAAAAGATTAGGTTACACCAATTTACCCAAAACTTTACTGAAATATCGATGAAATGCCAAATTTAGACAAAAGCATTTTGCAGATTGAGGAGTCCGCTCTGGTTTAGCCAAATTACATTTTTTATATGGAAGAGATTTTTCCAAATCATTGGGTTAAAGACTGAGAAGTAATATATCCTGACAATCAGACTTACATCACGTAAGGAAGATACATGCTCCAGTTTTGAAAGAAACTTGGCAAACAAACTACTTAAATTGTAAATTGATGTTGTGCTTGTGAAGAGTTTCAGATAGATCTGATAACTGTTTATGAAGGACGTTCTTTGGAACAGGAACTTCGCATGGGCAGCAGCAGCAGCATAAGCTTCCCTACATGACTTCCAGGGTGACTCAATGTATTCTGAGTGACCTTCTCAAGGGGAAAGAGCCTTTCAGCCTCCATACCCAGCAGAGGCCAAATTCTAAATGAAACTGACAGAGGTGCCAATTTAGCACTGACAAATATCCTAATCAATCACATTTATTGTTCCATGATAATTTACTCTTAGAAGTTCTCCTTTAAGGGTATCCCAGAGGAAAAGGAATTTGAGTTCTTGGATCAACTACAGTCAGTTTAGTTTAGGATGCAAAAGAACAATAGGTAGAGATTCACGCACTTGTTCTGGGCCCTGTATGACACCATAAAAGCCCCTTAACCAGCTAGGGAAGAATTTCCCACCTTGCATTACCTACACTAGCCCCCTTCATTAATCCTGGGGAAAAGGAGGCAAGTTAGGGGTTGGAAGAGAATCCCCACAGCACACAATACTATGAGGATTTCATGCTGCTGTGGGCAGCAGAGTAACCTATAGGCATCCCTGATATATACCACCAGTTCCTGGAGCAGCCCAAAATTGGAAAGGCACAAAAGTGACTTAAGCCACCTTTGATCCTTGCACCTCCCTTTCCCCATTACTCTGTCTTTCTGTGTTGTGCTTCCTGGAGGTGTAGCACGGAATCTTAAGCCTCAGATTTTACTTACTGGGATGGGTCCTCAGCTATTTTAAATCAGCATAATTCCATTGTCTTCAAGTGAATCTACAATGATTTATGCCACCTGAGGATCTAGTCACCTTATTTTGTGCTCAACTGAAAGTAAAGCAAAGTTAATAGTTGAAAAAAGTTCCATGACTTACCGCTTCTTTCCGCCTGCGCTCTTGCTCCATTTTTCTAGCCTGGTTACGGTCTTTGAAAAGACCTTTTTGGATATTTTGTTGAACCCCTGGTGGTTGTTGCTGTTCGTTGTTTGGCCTCTCTTTTTGTGGCTCTTCGTGGGCTTTCATTCCAGTGGATTCCAGTTCTGCTCCTTCATGGAGCCTTAAAAAGTAAAATAAAATGTCCGATTCTTTTGTTTACTCAGCATTATTTCTGTAGCGTAAACATGTGTCAACTGAACAAAAGCATCTGTTAGTAGCTTAATCAGCACTTACTTAGTACACAATACTTTAAATGTGGTCCAACAATATGTATTGCACATGTTCATTAATTCTATAAAGCTTTTCCCCAAATATAAGCATTATGTGGCAATATTTCTGTTTTTAAATGGGTAGCAATGGGAAAAGAACCATTGACACTCCCCACCACAAACCTATATGGGGATTGTATATTTCTTCTAGATGAACTAAGTTTTGTAAATAAAGAATATAAAGTGGGGATTTTCTTACCTGCGAATCAGGTAAGGGAAATGTCAGAAGCCAGTCTAGACTCATGGCTTCTGTCCTGTTCCTCTTTGACTGGCTAATCTGATAGAAGTTTTTTCTATCAAGTGACCCCCTGCTGCCTAAAATAGGGCAAGCCCCCCAATGACTTATTCCAGTGATGCCTTTCTTCCACTACTGGAAGTGAGGGGCATGGCATGGGGCAGAGAGCAGTCTCATCCAGTCAGTGGCTTGTCATTGGAGGACTTGCAGAGCTGGAGAGAGGCATTTTTGAGGGGCATGGCAGGGAATGGAGAGGGACTGTCAGCCCATGAATTATAGAGGCTTGCCAACAGCACTGTCAGCTCTGACAGTTGTCTAGATTTGACAGTGCACTGCCTGCCTGTTAAGATGGATGCAATGCACTGGTGCAGATTCAGTGGAGATGCAGGGCTAACCCCTACACATTTTAGGAATAGAATTTTGTTATAGCTCTGCCACAGGTGATTCTGTTACAGCAGTGTTAAGTGCAAAAATGCAATTATCTCGAATTTAAAGCAGATTAGCTAGTCTTTATTAACTCCATGTATGGATCCTCATATTTCAGAATAAAAACACATCCTCAGAGTGCTACTCAGAAATAGCTATTCCAGAATATCTCCCAATATAGATGAATCCTAAATTGCTTATGACTGATTCTTTTATGGCTACTGGTACAGTTGCTCATTACACATCCTTAAATAATTGTATTATCAGCTTAACAAACAGACTGATGAGTCATACTCTCATGGACAAGCCAACATTGCATATTTCAAAGGAGTCATGTGGTAATTTTTAAATATAAATTAATTTAATAAATTCCATACAGCCATCCAAGAATCCAGTTGACAGGTACTTGATATAAATAAAAGTAGACATGCGAAATTGGGTCATTTTTCCACTCAACTATAAGGAATTACAAACCTCTCTTTTTCTTGAGAGGGGGTTTTCCCTTTCCTCTTGGCTTGTTCCAGTTGTCTCCTTAACTCTTGTGCTCGTTCAGTTTCTTCCTTTTCTAGTGCTGCTTTCCTGAACTGTTTGAAGTTCTCCGGAGATGCCTTTATGGGAACTGGAAGTGCCATATTTTTACATAAACTTATCCAAGAGTCTGCATTCTTGATTTTGATGTCCTGCAATTTAAGAAGTGATTGTAATTCACATAATAGTTTGTGGTATTAAACTGCATTTTTTGTAAATAAGTCACTTAGTCCTTACTATACTCACAAATCACTTCGTTTTCACTGGACATACTTTCACTCATAAGATACAAACACATGATAACCCTTTCAGTGCAGTTTTCCAGTAGGAATGTTTTATTAGATATAAGCTTTCAAAAATTTTGTTGTAGATATTCTAAGTGTACTTTCTCAAATAATGCCACTCTGTAGAAAAATGGATCAGCAGCAATAGACATATCTGTTAAATATCTTCCCCAGATCCTCACTATTAGGACATATGCATCAGATTTTTTAGACCCCCAGAAAAGATGCATTCAGGACTGCTTCACTCTCTTGCTCTCACTCTCTCTCACACACAGTGCATTGTGTGTCCTCCTGCATAACTCCCATCTCAGTTCTATGGAAGCTCCTATGAGGCCTGCAGTTATATATATAAAGGGGAAATAGTTGGATGCATGTGGATCTGAGCGAGATACCCTAGTTCTTTGTAGGGGGATTTCCTTTGTAAAGTCAATACACAATATTGGGTTAATAAACAATACTCCGAGAAGTTTTCATGAAAATCTATTGTTTTGTTTGACTTATTACATATCTGCCCTGGGATCTGAATCCAAATATTAATAGTTTAAGAAAATGTAAGCTGCTGGAACAATGGAAATTTACTAAGGGCTAGTCCACAGACTCTACACTACCACGCTACATCAGCACAGTTGCACTGATGCAGCTGTGCTGCTGTAGCATGTCTGGTGAAGACATGCTATGCTGACGAGGGAGCGCTATCCCATTGGCATAATTACTCCACCTCAGTGATAGGTGGAAGCTATGTCACTGGGAGAACGTCTCCCACCAACATAGTGCGGTGTAGACACTGCTTTAAGTGGATGCAACTTATGTCGCTTAGGGGTGGCTTTTTCTCACCCCTGAGCAACGCAAGTTACATCAACTTAAGCAGTAGCATAGACAAGCCCTATATTAATACTTAAGAGCTGAGCGTGTTGACAGGAATTCTAGAAGCATTTCAATTTACCAGGCTTACACACAACTCTACAGCATCTAGGGGCCATGAGGCCCACAGCTTATGAGGGCAACTAAAACTGGCACTTCTGTAAACATTATCAAGTGTCAACTTTTCCTGCAGCAGCAAGTTAGCAGGAACTGGAAGATCCCCTCTCCCTGCCATTTTCTAAAAGTAAGCCAGTGCAGTTCAGGCATACCGAGAAGAACCTTCTTGTGAACCCCTCCCAAAATCCTCAAGCTGGTCCCATGCATAGTGGTGGGATCACGATCAGTTTTATTTTTTTTCAGTGGTGTAGAAGTGTGACAGATTCTTTCCTAGTCTCACATGTAAGTTTGAACTCCAGCACTACTCTTAGAGGCATTTACTCAAGTATTGCTATGACTTGGGTATTGTGTAATATGGAGGAGAGGTATGCTAGTATTAAAAAAACTACACCCTGAAAAGAGTCAAACCACATTAGTTAACATAGTACAGGTGCGCACGTTTTGAATTTTGAGTCCTTTGTTTTGGTATGTTAACTTTTTTATGATGTGAAATCAGAAATATAGGGCTGGAGAGGCCCACAAGAAGTCATCTAGTCCCCCCTCGCCCCCACATCGAGGCAGGGTTAAGTATACCTAGACCATCCTTGAATGGTATTTGTCTAAGCTGTTCTTAGACATCTCCAGTCACTGTGATTCCATAACTTCCCTAGGTAACGTGTTCCAGTGTTTAACTATCCCTTATAGTTATTTCCTAATTTCCAACTTAAATCTCCCTTGGTGTAAACTAAGCTGATTACTATTTCTCTTACCCTTGGTGGATATGGAGAACAAATTGGTCACCAACCTCTTTATAACAACTCTTAATGTATATGAAGACTTATATCCCTGCCTCAGCTTTCTCTTCTCTAAATATGTCCAATTCTTTTAAATTTTCTTCATAGTTCACGTTTCCTAAACCTCTTATTTTTGTTGCTATCCTCTGGTGTATGTGTCTCTCTCTCTCTCTCTCCCTCTCCCCCAGAATTTGTCCACACCTAAAGTGTGGTGTCCAAAACTGGCCAGCGTACTCCATCTGAGGCCTCACCAATGCCAAATAGAATGGAACAATTACCTTCTTATCAGACTCTTGTTAAATACTCCCCTAAAAATGACATTTGCTTTATTTACAACAGCATTACACTGTTGACTTGTACTCAATGTGTGATCCACTATAACCTCCAGATCCTTTTCTGCAGTCCTGCTGCCTAGCCACTTATTTCCCATTATATATTTGGGCATTTGCACTATTCTTTGCTGAATTTAGTATTATTGACTTCAGACTAGTTATCTATCTAGATGATTTAGAATTCTAATCCTCTCCTCCAAAGTGCTTGCAACATCTCCCAGCTTCATGTCATCTGAAAATTTTATGGAGCATACTTGCTTCCATTGTCCAAGTCATTAATGAAAATATTTACTAGTATCTGACCCATAACAGACCACCACTTGTACGTTCTCCCATTTTGAAAGCAGTCCATTAATAACTACTCTGAGTGCAGTCTTTCAACCAGTTGTGCACCACTTTATAGTAATTTCATCTAGACTATATTTCTTTAGATTGCTTATGAGAACATCAGGTGGGACTGTGATAACAGCCTTACTAGAGTCCAAATAGATCATGTCTACTTCTTCTCGCCTACCCCACTAGGTCAGTTACCCTGTCAAAGAAGGAAATTAGATGGCTTTGACATGATTTATTCTTGACAAATCTCTCTTGATAGTTACTCATCACCCAGTTATGCTCTAGGTTTGAATAAATTGTTTAATTGTTACAGTATCTTTCTGGATATTGCAATTAGGATGACTGGTGTATAATTCCCCAGGTCCTCCTTTTCCACCTTTTTGAAGTTAGGTACGGTTTGTCCTTCTCCAGTTCTCTGGGACCTCCCCTGTCCTCCATGAGTTCTCAGATAATTGTAACAGTTCTGAGACCGCTTTGGCTAGTTTCTTGAGTACTCGAGTCTAGGGTGAATTTCATCCAACCCTGCTGACTTGAATACATCTAAATATGTTTTTTCCCCCCTATTTAGACCTGAGAGCCCTCCACTTTGTTGTGAATATTAATTGTGTTGAGCATCTGGTCACAGTAGAGCATGACATAAAACAGCATAAACCAATAGAAAAAAAAATGGTCACATAGGACATGGAATAGAAATATGTGCTTGAATCTTTGGCAGATGGATTTCAATAGTTCCCAAGGTCTGTGAGACAATGAACGCATAAGCCATAGAAGTCACTTGAGAAGATCCTGAGATAAGGTGCTACTGCTTTATAATAAACTTTAAAGATCTTCAAATAAGATATGCAAAAATGGTTTCCTCGAGTCTTAAGAGGGACATCCAAAAAGACAATATTCCTACCTTTTTAGGAAGAATTTGAAGTGTAGGATCTAGTGTGTTTTTATCATCAGTGCTGTCAGAATGACCTGTTGGAACAATAGAATGAGCTTTATGAATCATGTTGACCATCTGGAAGATGCTTCTATTTCTGGAATGGAAGCCCACTGAAAAAGTCCTTTACAAGTTGGTCTCTGCTTTTATCGTTGTGGCAGAGGAGCTCCTGAATTCATCAGTCCCAACTAAGACAGAAAAAGATGCCTAAAGTGCTTTCACTTTCCTGAGTTAGAAGTTTAAATGTTTGAATAGATATGTAGGTTTTCTTCCACCTTTCATTTTGTGAAGGCTCTCTCTAGAGTTCCTACTTACCCTGTAGAAAGTTAATGTAGGCAGGACAAGAAGCCTTCTTAGAAACTGCAGTGCTTTCTATTTCTAGTTGCTTGACTGGTGGGGGGAAGAATCTTTACATATTACTCATCTCCTTTCCCCTCCCCCTCCAACAGAGATTGACTACCCCTTCTGTGATGTTCCTGGCTTCCCCTAGAGAGGGAGGAGTCAGTTACTTAGTAACCTCACATTCCTCATAAAAGCATTTGTCCTGCCAGTTTCCACCTTTTTAAACAAGTAGGTCAGCCAGTAAGGTCTTCTAGTCATGTAAATCCATTTCTACTTCCAGTAGCTCCAGGGTACAGAATGTTTAAGAAATAAGGTATGTGCTCTGAGTGATTATCTTATTTGTTACACTGATAGATAATTCATTCTGAAAGGCAAACTATAAATTCCATTTCAATAGCATTCATTTCAACACATATAAATGAAATTTCCTCTGTACTGTATGTACTGCAAAAGAAAAACCGCAAAGTGTCATGTGTTTTTGCATTGCACACTTAGAGTAATATTAGAAATACCTTGACAAGTATGTGGAATTGCAGATGACTAAATCTTCCATTATTTCAGGCAAAACATACTCAATAGGAAGAATTACCACACAGTTACAGAAGTGTTATGCTGCTTTTACCATGGATATCACTGCTTTTTAGGGCTCAGAAAGGATTTCTATACCTAGATTGTTAAGTGCTTTAGGAATGGAAGCTAAAACTTTGTTTTTGACAAAGGAACTGCTTTAGACCTTGATATAGCACAAGACAGGTTTAATACTCTTGCACCTTTTTGTGACAAAACTCACATTCATCTACTCTGGGTAACTAAACTAGGTTTCAGTAATTCTATGTAGAATTATTCTTACTCAATGTGTAAGAGATTTGATAGCTACAGGATAAAATATTATGTAAGCAGTTACATAAGCATCCCAGACTCACAAACATGTAGAAAACATTAAGACATTAAAGTGCCTTCTGTGAAAATTTAAACTCTGGTCTTCAAATAAGATTTTTCCAAAAGCAACCTTTACAAGAATCAAACATCCCAAGTAGTCTTTAAAAAAAAAAAGTCAGAAAATGAGCATATTACTCAACTTCAAATGAGCAAGAGTTTTGGCTAGCCAAATAAAATAGGATGCTAAGTCAAGGCAGCCCTGTTGATAGGGGTCTGAGCCCCGGTATGTATCTCTGATGACCCTTGTAAATTTCTGGACCAGTTTGAACTCAAACCTGTCTGGGTAGCTTCTATGAGAACTGGAGAAAGGTCATAATCTTCATGCTTCTCCAGCATGTAGATTTACTTGGCTTTGAAGTGAACCTCCAGTTCCCCTGAATCCAATTATGTCCTTCATCACCCTGCTTTTCACCTTGCCCCCACACAAGCAGCTGGAATTGTCAAGGTGATGGGAAGCCTGGAGCATAATCTTCAGCACAAGAGGCTCTGCTGTGAAGGCCAGCACTTCATGCACAAGGAGCATTTACTCTTGGGCAGGAGAGGATTTTCTCAAAGCACACACAGAGGGCTTCATGGAAGTCTTTCAGAAACCTGCTAGTGACCTGACTAGGTACCAAGAATTCATCTTCATCTCCACTTCAAGAGAATGAATGCAAGACTGTGAAACTCAGGCCTTCCAACAAAGCTGCCTGCCCGCAGTCAGGGACTGCAAATTGAGCTGCTGGCTCCCTGGCATTTCCTGCCTTGGCAGCAGAGGGGCTAAATCTCATTACTAATGAGCTTCATGAGTCCCGGGCTGTGAGTGCATTGAGGAGCCAGTACTTTGAGCTCACAGTGGCATGGGATGCTTCTGTAATGAGGCAGCTCCACTAGGACTTAGTACAGGACAGCCAAGTTGGCAAGAACAAGGGTGGTGCTAATACACAGTTGTGGAGCTCAGGAAAGCTATTTTCAGTATTTCTAGGAAACAGATGACCACAGAAGAATGCCTAATTAGATTTGCTTTTCTGCAAGATCTCTTGACAAGTGGTTCAGACAAGCATGCAATTCTTTTAACCAAGTTTTATCATAGAAAGTTAGGGTTGGAAGGGACCTCAGGAGGTCATCTTGTCCAACCCCCTGCTTAAAGCAGGACCAATCCCCAATTTTTGCCCCAGATCCCTAAATGGCCCTGTCAAGGATTGAACTCATAACCTTGGGCTTAGCAGGCCAATGCTCAAACCACTGAGCTATCCCTCTCCCCAACCAAGTTTTAGGTCACATGATATCAGTAAAGATGTACATAGTAGTTCTTAGCTCTTATATAGCATCTTTCATCTGAGGATTAAGCAGCACAAAAGCTTACTGAGTAAAGTTTAAGTTCCTTTTATTATTCAAGGAAAACATTTCCCCCCAGAGTTTTAATAATGGAAAATAAATGTAATAATCTTAGTAGGAAACTCAGGTTGGGTGACTGGGAAATAGCTCCCATGCTGGTTACTCCTGCAATAGCAGGTCTGGTGCTGATGAATGAGCATTGAGCAGAGCTCTGCTCATTCATCTCATTTATTTTTTAAAAAACTTAAAAAATACATAAGCAAACTAGTGCTCGCACCCCTGTGGCTCAAAGGCTAAGCAACTCGTAATACGTCCCTGGGCAAACCTCCCAATCTTGAGATTCTTCCTGCAGCAGCCTTCTTATGTACAAGAACTCTAGCTTTATTGCCCCCGTGTTAGGGCCAGGAATAGAGCATGCCAACTCTGGTGATCTCAACAGTGAAGATGAGAGGAACCATCCCACAGCCCCTCCACTTGGCCAAGTGGAAACTGTAGGAGTGGTGAGTAAAAAGGTGCTGAAGGATTGAAGAGGACAGAACTAAGAGGGATAGAGAAGTAAGGATTTGGGGAAGATAGGCAATGAGGAAGGAAAAGATTGAAAGAAAAAAGGAAGAGCAATCCATTCAGACAAAGAAAAGATGGGAACAGGAATGGAAGGAGAGAATGAAAGACCTGTGTTTTCAAATAATATAGGTTGCTATAGCTGTACCTGTCATTTTGAAACACATTAAAGCAAGGTCCTTGCCTTGAAATTTACAGTTGAACAGTATGTGGGAAATAATTCAAAAGCAAAAAGGCATACACTCATTGTCATTGAGGATTGTGCACTGAATTATAATTCATGTAAAACCGATACCAGGTGCTGTAAAGTGGTAGGTGCTTTTTAGCATATATAAAAGTACATTACTGGTACTAAATAAGTGTTGCAATACAGAAGAGCAGGGTTAAGACTGCAATGTGAAAGCATTGTTTTGGTATAATTAAGTTACTTAGTTAACCCTAAATTTCTAACACTATTCATTGACCATCTTCACTGCTAATTGTTAAGAGTTTGGAAATAAGTATGCTTTTCAGTTTCCATGAAGTTTTGTTTGAAATTTGTTTTATTTATGTTCAAATTAATGGGGACAGGGGGAGGAGGAGGAAGAGGAAGAGGAAGATAAGTTGGTCTTCACTGCATTATTAGTTTGGGGCACAACTCAGGTGATACCCTAACTCAGCTCTTGTTCACAGAAAAATTTCTAGCCTAGGGTAACTAGGGCTTTGAGTTTCTTTGAGTTTGAAGAAGCTAGCTCATCAAAGGGGGTGGGTTGGAGCTCAAGGTATTCTGAAGCTCAAGCTACTATTGCATTGGGGACTCAGTGTGAGAACTGTTAAGCCATCCCCAGCAGAAATGACTGATCTCCAGCTCAGTACCTATTTGAAAGTCTGAAGTAAGTAAAAACTTTACGTTCTAGGGACAGGTTATTCCCAGACCTCTTTACCAGGATCCTCCTTCAACCCTACTGTACTAATTGCTCAGTGGTTTATGGGCTACTTTTAATATATTGCCCAGGAAATATGAAGCCATCAGATCATCGTTTTTAGCAGAATCCCCTACTCAGGACTGTATTGAAGAACTTTAGAAGGGAATGAAACGCTGCAGTAGACACACTGATACCTGTAGCCCCTGCTCTCGCAATAGTGATGCAAGACTGAAGCAGTATTTTATCAATTTGTTTCTACAGTAGGGAAAATTCTTTATCATCTGTTTATTTTGACAGATCTCTGCTACCCCCAAAAGCCATATAATAAAGATTAAGCCACCTGGAGACATTCTAGGGAGTGTCAGTAGAGAATCCTTTTAAAGTTCAGCAAAAAGTTTTACTGTTACGTAACAGGGCATCAGTGGAGTGAATTTTTATCTAACTATTCTGAGCTTTCTAAATTAAGCGATTTGTCCCCGCTACTAAACTGCAGGGAAAGTTAAGCCTTTTCAAATGTAAAGTCATTGGCTTTATATAGTCTTGGTATCAGATACAACCAGAATGAGAACTGGATATCCATTTTTACTTAGCTTTATGTAAATTGTTAAGTGAATCAAACAACAAAGTGTACCCGGAAAAACAGTCACACTAACGTTTGCATGCAGTACTATTTAGATATTAACTAGTGAACAAATATTACATTCAGTATTACTTTATTTTGACCAATATAATCTGAAAGTTCACATATACATTTATTTCAAGTGTATGCCCCTGATCTCAGTTACATTTCTAATAAGACCATACATACTTTGTTCTTGATTTATGGATTTTGAGCCAGCAACTCCACCAGAAACATTGTTTTGAAGAATATTTAATTTTCCAGGTTCTTTGCCATCAGTAACTGGAATGTCCTGGAGAGATGAATTGGATGCCTAGGAGAAAATTAAGACAGTCTTCAAAATGTACTCTGATCAGTTAATATGTGCAATGTTCTATAGTATTTATCTAACAGAAAAAGGGAATTTCAGCAGTGGGTTATTTCAGTCTATACAGGCTGGACCTGCAAGGACGAAGTAGATTTAATCCATACTGTAGTCAACTAAAGTAAATTCTACGTAAGCAGGCACTGACTTAGTAGCAAGTACTGCTGAAAGAAAATCAAGTGGGGGACAATATGACCATGGTCCAGATTCCCTCCTCCTGTTCCAGGAAGTTTGCACCACCTGAGTGGTGCTAAGTGGCAGAATCAAGCCTTAGCTGGCCAGCTGAGAATTCCCTCAGCATAGGGGAGTTCAGCTTGTGCAAAGTGTTTTACTGGCTCCTAAAACTGCTACCCCATGCCAGAGTAAGGGGCAGGGTGGAGCACACCTGCACTACCTTCATTCTCAGCCGAGTATGTTCCTGTAGAGGTTAAACTGGCATAAGATAAAGCAGCCCCTATGTTGGGCTGGGGCTTTCACAAATGCATCATGAGAATTAGAGAAGGTGTTACTGGCCCTCTACCACCAGGCTCAGTGCAGAAGAGGAAGAAAGCCTATCTTTGTGTAATGGAGACTCTGGGCTGGAGAGTCTAAGAACAAAATAGCACCACCGAAGAGGGACAATATATTTAGCTGTGATGCTGGGAGTTCCTTTCCTAGACCTGAAGAAGCGCGCTCTGTGGCTTGAAAGCTTGTCTTGCTCACCAACAGAAGTTGGTCCAATAAAAGATATTACCTCACCCACTTTGTGTGTCTAATATGCAGGGACCGACATGGCTACAGCTATATTCTGTCGCATGGAAGAGGTGCATTTTAAGTCTTTGCACTGGAGAAACTTCAGAAAGTAAAAGCTATTGAAAGCTTGGGTGAATCAACTGTACCTAGACCTGTTTGGAAGCATGTTCACCTAACTATCTTCCTAGACAAGTTGGGAGAGGCTAAGCTGTGACATCAAGTCCAACTCAAAGGGAACTATAGAATTCAGCATGACAGTTGAGGGCCCCCATCCAGAGACTCCTCAAGGGTGGATTATCCAAGTCCCAGGTTTTATTTATTAAATCATTCTTCCCTCAAAGCTCAAGGAATTCTCCATATTTATCTTTTAATCAAAAGATAAAATCATGTGGAGAGGGGGGAAAAAAGCCAGGCCTCACCTCATACCATCGTCACTGTACCATACAGCTGACAAGAGTTTAGTATGATATTTCCAGAGACGGAAGCAAAAAAGAAGAACTAATGAAGATGCTGTGATTATATTACAAGGTAATCTTTGCTTTCTGAAAGTCAGAGTGATCCTGGCAGCTTTATACTTTCAGCAACTATGTTAGAGGATATGCATTAAAGAGAGACAGTTAAGCTAGTGATTCCTTCAGCTGCAAAGCTTTTCCTTTCATATTTTGGCATAGAAAGCACAATCCAATTCCTATTAAAGGCAATTAAGTCACTATTTGATTAATGGGAATTAGATTAGCATTTCAGTGGTTCTGTATGGGTCTAATCAAACTCAGCCAACATTTCCAGGAAAACAGAAAACCTTACTCCACTGTTGTATGAATACAAGCCTGAAGTGTTGCAATACTAGGTCTACTTATTTTAAAGGACAAAAGGTTCGTTATATGAAGATACTTGAGAAATCTATTTGTAGATAAATCAGCATAAATAATGACAATTCACCTCTGTGGCAATGTGAGTAGGCTGGCTGACAAAAGGCTGGCATGTCTTTGGAATATTCTGAGGCCTTTGCTGTAGGGGTGTGGAGTGCAGTGGAGATATAACTGTGATTATACCTGAGTGGAGGGGGGGAAAATGGAAATTAAATGTGCAACTTCCCATAATATACAGAGTCAACAAATCTGTAACCTATACTCAAAATTAGCTCAACAATATTTTAAGACACAGAATAGCCAAGTGTACATTCCAGCTAGATACCTTTTGGGACAGTCATCTATTTTTAGTTAGCTTCCCAGCTGGATAATCAGCTAGCAACTCATTTAGATTTATACCAGAACTGAGGAAGGATGATTTTTTGGGGGGGGCATGTCATTAAATATTTGCAAGATAGCTTTAAGGTAAGAGATTGGATATTCTTTCCTTTAAACCCAGCTTTACCAATGCAGGATTATGTGCTTTTATCTCAATCTTGAGTCACTTTTTATAGTCACATTACTCTTTTCTATTTTGCTGTTTGACAGTAGTAAAATGACACTTACAAAAACCACTGTATCTGAAGTGTTGGTAGACTGCATTTCTGCAACCAGGATTCTGCTAAGTGTTGCTTGACCTCCATGACATAGAACAAAGGGTGCTCAACACTACACATGGAAGCTATTGCAGGGTCTCTAACCTAACACTTCCCCCATCCTACCTCCCAGCAAACTCCAACAAACAAAACAGGAATTTTCTAGACAAGACCAATACCAATTTTCTTCTCCTGCTATAATGACAGTCTCATGTCAATAATAGCCATTTCATTTTCTGGTGTAAAGATTTTACCTGAAGGAGACAGCATGCTTTGTTCAGGTAGTTTAAGTGGACTACGTTGCAAAAGCTGAGGCCACTGTAGTATTTTAAGAGAAGGCTGTGTTTCTGATGATCTTTGATTTTGCAAGCTACTAGTAAAAGAAAATGAGGTCTGCACTTCAGGAATAGCATTGCAGGATGTCTTTTGTAAAGACAGTGGTATTTGCTGCAGGAAGATTTAAATGTAATTAATTTTTGATATTTACCTTGCATTTGATAAAGTTAACCCTTTATACCTCTTCAAGTTTTCCCGTTTCCACCTGGGCATTTGAAAGTGATCTACTTCTCTTAAAAATACAATACAAATAATATCTGATGTCACTGGTGCCTATAGTATTTGTTAGGAATTCTATAGGTTGACAGCAGAAAAATGTACCCATTTAAATTAACAATGATGCACAATTTAAATTGAAGAAGTGGCATTAACTCCTGCTGTCTGGTAGATACTTTGGTAAATACACTATATTCTGACTCAGATACCAAGTATATGACAGAGAAAGTTGTAGAGATAAAGACAAATTACATTTAAGGCCCAGCCTGGTGGCATAGGAGTAGCATTCTGTAAGTCTTAGTTTTACCAGGGAGAGACCGAGATATATCAGTAGCATGGCTCTCACTGTGGAGACATGTGAGCACCTGTCTTGCAAAGGCTACTCACAGTGAATGAAGCTAAGCATATACTTAAGTCTTTGCAGGATCAGAGTCTGAGTGAAAGGTATATTCTAAGAGGAGGTCTTGCATCTATAATAGAGGGTGAATAAACAGCAGTTGAATAAAGGCGTCCAGTTAAGTATGCCACCTGATTTTCCTATGTGGTTAAGTGCTCTGCTCTGAAAGGAAGAGCAGTATATTTGAAGCACAGGAGCGGTACTCAAACTCTTCCAGAAAGGGCGGGGGGGGGGGGGAAATTGAGTCCAGTGAGGGCAAACTGATGTGGAAGTTTTCTTGTAAACGTACTTTGAAAAACTAGCTGCCGCCTCTCCTCCCATTTGGGATCAGAGTACATTGTGAAGGATGGGCATGGGCAATGGGAGGGTCATGGCCAAGCAGGTGCACTGGTATATAAGATGGGTATTCACCCAGGAGTGGAGTAGGTAGTTTGTTTATTTATTGGAAAAAGAGAGCTAAAGAGTTTTATATATTTAGTTTCATGTTAGGCTAGTTCCTCTTAAATCTTGCTCATTGTTCAGATGATGCTGTAATGTTTTGGATACTTCCTACATCTGTCACTATATCTGAACGAATATTTTACTGGAAGATTTGTGTGCTTATAGCGAAGATAAGACCTTAGTGTGCTTAGCATGGTTTATTAGGTTGATTCACTTTAGCGTGTGAAGGGTAAGACTGTGTTAAAGACACTTAAAAAAAATAAACCTTGTTAACCATTTTTAGTTAAATGTTGCCTCCATATTTCTCCCCTGTTCCCCCCTCCTCCCCCCCGTCTGTAGTGAAGTAAGATCCCCAAATGTTGCTCCCACCCCAGCAGCTGGGCGAGGTCTAGCCAGAGTGTGTCAGCAATATGCGTAACTTTGAACTTCTGCAGCAAACAAACTTTGTTCCTCCCTATGAGGGAGGTAAACAAAATTAGAATCAAATTAAATATTCAAAATTTTAGTATCAAACAACAGAGAACAAAGCTATTTAAGTGATTTCAGCAAACAATACTAAGCAGTGAATGACAAACCTTTTAATCTAGATCTAAAGTTATATGCATTCTAACAGAAGAGAAATGTGAATTTACCTCCATTTGTTCTTTAGAAGTCAGACCATTCTGTCTGGTTCCATTTGGCTTTGAGCCTATTTCTGTAATCATAAATAAAGTGAAGGGAGAAACTCAGGTATTCACATCTGTTGTATGGATTCACATCAAGACATTTTTAATCTGTATTGCAGTAGCACCTAGAGGTCCAAGACCCATTGTTGTGGGAACTGAACAAACAGGCATCCCTGTCCCAGAGAGCTTACTCCTGTTCACAGAGTTAAGCATGTGTAACACCACTGAAGTCAATGGGACTCAATGCACAGAATTAGGCACACATATAGGGTCCTAATGGGATCTATACCTTAGCTGCCATTGCCATAGAAGAGATGAGGCTATGGTATCCTGGCATACTCCAGTAGCTGGAAGCAGCCCTAGACAGCTAGCAGCCTCAAGTATGTACCCATCCAAGACCATAGGTATAGATTCAGGGCAGGTAGCCCCTCCTGCTACCACAGGCATGCTCTATTTTTAGTGCGCTAACACCTTTGTGTCTCCTCGAGCTGGAAGTTACATCACCATCTCAAAGTGTAGACATGCTCTTAGAGTATCCATTAACTAGATCCATATTTTTATTTCTGATGAAATGGTAGATGAACACATACTGTATTACAAAAACTGATTAACAATTAAAATTAAGTGTACGTGGCTTTCAGAATAGATGTTTTAAATCAATGACAGCATATAAAATATTTAAAGTGAAAGGCAGCTGTATTTCTAGCTGAAAACCCGCCGTACCAGTGGACTGCATGTCAGTTTTCAATTAACAGCGTGATTTCAAGTTCAAAATACATTCTGTATGTTTTTAGACTACGTCTATTTTTACTTAAAGATTGTCATTCAGTATATGTGAAATGATTAGATATTTGAAGTAGTGACAGATGGCTCAGTAAAACAAAACTTCTAAATGTAAGTTTAAACTGCAAGACAGAAGTACTGTAGTTTGTTGGTCTGAGAATGCCACTAAGAGTCAACACCGCCTTGAGATGAACTACCTATATTTTGAACGTAGATGCCTATATAAAACTAGCTGAAATGTTGTGCCAGTCATGAAAATTAATTCCAGCTACAAGAGAAAAAAATCCTTTACACTAAAGAATGCACTTCCATCTTCCAGGCAACTAGTGTAGTTTGGAAGAGCCCAGACACTTTCAAAAATTCTGAACTTGAAGTTCTGGTTTTAACACGAAGACAGAGGTCAACTCTTCAGTGCCGGATATTATTGTCATTGATAGGGTGACCAGACGTCCTGTTTTTAAAGGGACAGTCCCACATTTCAGCCCTCCTGCAGGTGTCCTGACTTTCTTAAAAATGGGCAAATTTGTCCCATATTTTCTGTCTCCCCCCCATCAGTACTGATGGGTCTTGCTGCTGGCTGTATCCCTGCTCGCCAGCTGCCCATCCACAGGCGGTGAGTGGGAGGGTCCAGTGGCTGATGATGGGGGTGGGTGTACAAGGCTGGTGATGGGGTGAAGCTGCAGCACACAGGGGCGGCCGCTGCCCCTACTGGTCCATCAGCTCAGCCCCCGTTGCATGTTAGCTCTTAGCCAGCAGGGCCTCGCCCCCGTCCCGTTTCTGGCCAGTGCTGGCTGCACTCTGCGGCCACTGGTGAGTGCAGGCAGGCACTAGGCAGCGGCCAGTTATGTGTCGCCTCTATTGCCCACCCATCAGCCCTTTTATGTGATCCCTCTCTCACTGTCCTCTCCCTGCTTTGTCCCTTCATCCCCTCCAGCCCTGCTGCTCCCCCATATCACCCCCACTAGCTGAGTAAAGAACCAGCCCCTGGTCGGAATGCTCAGCTTACCAACAGCCTGGCTGGCAGGCTCCTTCTTTCCCCCACTGCCTCTGGCTGGGCCAGCACCCCATGAAAGCCCAAGACTCTCTGGCCTGGGTGCTGGCCAGTAGGAACCAAGCTCTATGGGGCTTTGGCACACGCACAGAGCTGGCACAGGGAAGCCTCTCTGCCCCTCAGCTAAACTCTGGAGTGGTGGGAGGCGGAGGGGGCCACAGTGCACGGGAGCAATTTCCAATCTGTTCATGCCCTGACCCTGCAGGATCGACAGCAGCCCCGCCCCGGGAAGGAGCTTACCAGCCTCTTCATACGTACACCCACCCTGGGTCCTTCCCCCAAGGAGCCTGGGGCTGCTCCGCCCCCGAGGAAACTCTGCTACTGAGACATCTCTCTAGCCAGGTTTGCTGAAGCTTCTGCAGCCAGGTTCCCTGGGCCCTTGTGCACAATTCAGGCTTAACCCCTTCCTGTAGCCAGGGGACAGGAGACAGCTGGGTTTTGTCAATGGCCATTAGGTGCCTTTGAACACTGTGCGGCAGGAAGGAACAAGCTGCTTCCAGCCACAGAAGGAGTGGGAAAGGAGAGGAACGGGAAAAAAAGAGAGAGAACAAACTCTGCAAAGACATGGGCCAGGTCATCCCTTCCTCTCCCCTCTGGCTGGAAGCAGCTCCTATCCCTTCTCTCCCACACAGTGCTGAAAGGCTGCTGCTGGCCACATTCTGGTGTGAACCCTGGCAGAAATTGGCGGGGGGGGGAGCGGAGCATGTGATCCTGTGTGCCCCCCCCATGTGTTGCCTTGGGAAGGTGCAGCAGCGGGGAGGCGGGTCCAGCCTGGGGGCCCAGCCAGGCATGAAGGGCAAAGCACACCAGGCAGGGAGGGGGTGTGGGGGTCAGTCGGTCACCCCGTCGTGTGTGTGTGTGTGTGTGTGTGTGTACCTCTCCTCGTGTGAGCCCAAAAGCCTTAAAGATAAGGCAAATAAAAAATCCAACTATGCAGTATTTCTTTTTAACAGGGGCTCAGTCAACTTGATGATAATTTGAACGTTTGTGCTGCATGGTTCTGATTGATTGCCGTTGAACTTGCTTGAATACGAATAAATTTTACCAGGGGTCCTGTGTTCAGCATAGGGAAATATAGTCATCCTAGTCATTGAGTGTTCAGTAAACTGCAAGGGTGAGCATTTTATGCATAACAGTGTATGTATCAGTCCTTCAGAGGATCTCATCATGTATAGCAGCTTTACCTGCTATTTGAATAATTTTAAGTTTGTTCCCCAAAATCAGTGTACAGAGAGTCTAAGACACGGGCCACTGGAAAAATGGGCTATGTTAACCACCACTGAAACCTCCTTCTATACTAGATGCTTACACGTATTATTGGGAAAAAGATTACATGTCAGGAAAAGTGTTATTTTCCCAGTGTAAACAGGGCCTAAACATTGAGCAATGCTTTAATTACAGTTTGAAAGAACCCCGCTATATACATTTATATTGAACAGTTTGAAAAGTTCAAAGAAATAATACAAGTCTCATTCCTCTCCTCCCACAGAAATATGCACCTCATGTGTTACAGTAGTCAAAGACACTCACAATCTTGCAGCAATCTGGGATTGTTTTCAATCCAGACTGCACTGCGAATTGCATTTCAGAATGGAACACTGTAAAAACAATTTCCATTAACTCCAGCTTTGTTTTTTTGGGAAAACATTAGTTTGAAGTATTATCATTAGAAATGCTGTTGGTAAGAGTTTTAGGTACTACACCGGCCCTCATCCCTCCATACCCATTTATTTTTCTATTTCTTAAAAAGAGTTTTGCTGCTGTGTTGTAGGCCTACATACAAACAAAATATTTCTATAGTCATCCAATTATAGTAACTGTGTTGTTACAAACACTTAGGCAACACCATTTTTAGACAAATATGAATTAGATAAAAGTATACGACAAGTAACCTAGAATATAGCTTGTGACAAGCTCCAGTACAGATACTTACATTTTGCTACTAGAAGTTTTCATTCACAATTTCAGTTTGCTACTTAAAAAAAAAAAAAAAAAAGTACGTTTCTAGAGAAGTTTTATCCGTAAAAGAGTTTCAGGTATTTCTACTTCATAGCATTTGACTAGACTATGGCACCCTGGAACATACAGCAAGTCAGTAGGCCTAGAAGTATGCAAAGTGAAGCTTCTTTTGTAAATTCTGTATCTCAAGAGGCAGAGGCGATACAATGAGGTTATCTGACCTGATTCAGAGTCACTGGTATCCGAGGAGCTAGAATCACCGCTAGTACTGCTGCTGCTAGAGTCGGAGGAGGAGCTGCTGCTGCTACTCTCACTCAGTCGCCTTGGTCCACCAATAATCTTTGGTATAGTGTTATTTTCAGCTGCAAGATAAGAAAAGGAAGTACATATAGCACTGAAAGTCTTATGCATATATATGTTAAGTAGGGCTGTCAAGCGATTAAAAAAATTAATCGTGATTAATTGCACTGTTAATAATAGAATGCTATTTAAATATTTTGGATGTTTTATACATTTTCAAACATATTGATTTCAGTTACAACACAGAACACACTTAATATTTATTTTTGACTACAAGTATTTGCACCATAAAAACCACCAAAAGAAACAATATTTTGCAATTCACCTAATACAAGTACTGTAATGCAATCTCTTTATCATGAAAGTTGAACTTACAAATGTAGAATTATGTACAAAATAAACTGCATTCAAAAATAAAACAATGTAAAATTTTAGAGCCTGCAAGTCCACTCAGTCCTACTTCTTATTCAACCAATCGCTTAGACAAACAAGTCTGTTTACATTTGCAGAAGATAATGCTGCCAACTTGTTTACAATGTCACCTGAAAGTGAGAACAGGCATTTGCATGGCACTGTTGTAGCTGGCGCCGCAAGATATTTACATGCCAGATGCTTTAAAGATTCATATGTTCCTTCATGCTTCAACCACCATTCCATAGGACATGTGTCCAGGCTGATTACGGGTTCTGCTCGATAACTATCCAAAACCATGCAGACCAACACATGTTCATTTTCATTGTCTGAGACAGATGCCACCTGCAGAAGGTTGATTTTCTTTTTTGGTGGTTTGGGTTCTGTAGTTTCCTGCATCGGAGTATTGCTCTTTTAAGACTGCTGAAAACATGCTCCACACTTCATCACACTCAGATTTTGGAAGGCACTCCAAATTCTTAAATCTTGGGTTGAGTGCTATAGCTATCTTTAGAAATTTCACATTGGTACCTTCTTTGCATTTTGTCAAATTTGCAGTGAAAGTGTTCTTAAAACGAACAGCATATGCTGGGTCATCATCTGAGACTGCTATAACATGAAATATATGGCAGAATGTGGGTAGAACAGAGCAGGAGACATACAACTCTCCCCAAAGGAGTTCAGTCACAAATTTAATTCACGCATTTTTAAAAAAATGAGTGTCATCAGCATGGAAGCACGTCCTCTGAAACGATGGCCAAAGCATGAAGAGGCATATGAATCTTTAGCGCATTTGGCATGTAAATATCTTGCGACACCAGTTACAACAGTGTCATGTCAACACCTGTTCTCACTTTCAGGTGACACTGTAAACAAGAAGCAGGCAGCATTATCTCCCATAAATGTAAACAAAACTTGTTTCTCTTAGCGATTGCCTGAACAAGAAGTAGGACTGAGTGGACTTGTAGCTCTAAAGTTTTACATTGTTTTGTTTTTGAGTGCAGTTATGTAACAAAAAACCCACTATATTTGTAAGTTGCACTTTCATGATAAAGAGATTGCATGACAGTACTTGTATGAAGTGAACTGAAAAATGCTATTTCTTCTGTTTATCATTTTTGCAGTGCAAATATTTGTAACTGAAAATATGAAGTGAGCACTGTACACTTTGTATTCTGTGATGTAACTGAAATAGATATATTTAAAAAACATCCAAAAATATTTAATAAATTTCATTTGGTAATCTACTCTTTAATCGTGCAATTAAATTTTTTTAATCATGCGAGAGCCCTCGCCTGAATGCATCTTGTCACATCCTTCATTACTGACATAGCTTATGCTTTGATTCCTTCAAAGTACTAACTCCAACAGAATCCAGCAGTGGGTGCTGGAGAGGCTGGCAATGATGCAGATTCTTAGGCTTGGTCTCTACCACCAACTTGTGATCGGTATAACTACGTTGCTCAGAGGAGTGGAAAGTCCACACCCCTGGCTTACACAGTTACACCGACCTAACTCTCGCTATGTCAATGGGAGGGCTTCCACCATAGTCCACCTCCAAGAGGCAACAACTAACTAGACCAACTGGAGAAACTCTCCCATCAGTGTAGGGAGGGTCTTCACAAAGCCCTATGGTGGTGGTGCTGCAGTGCTGTAAGCGTAGACAAGCCCTTACCCAAGCAATGGCTCCTGACCAATGCATTCCAGAAGTATTAGACCCTCTGTGCTGATTTACTGTTGAATTTAATCTGTTGACACTAGAGTTCAAGAGAGCTTTATGCCACTCTCCCTGGACCCCACTGCTCTGAGACTGCTGGGTGAAACCAGTGACCAAGATATTTCTTATGTACCATTTTTAACTGCACACTTTTTGCAGGCACTTGACTGTGTCTTTATCATCTTAAAGAAGAGATGAAGGAGGTGGAAAAGAACCAATTCAATATTCACACCACCACACCAGAATAGGATTTGAAAAAGAGGAACATGGTTAAATGAAACTTTTTCCTGAAGCATTTTCTATTAGCCATGATCAGATGCAGGATGCCACACAAAATACAGACCTTTGCTATGGTGCAAGTGGCAATTCCTGTGGTCTGACTGGCACCCTACATTGCTTGAGAGATGCGAACGCCATGAAGTACAAGATAATTTTTGTTAATATTTTTAGAAAATGTTACAGAAAAGGTTCTGTAACAGATGAAAAAAATAGCTGACCAACAAAAAATTACTGTTGTGGTGTAGTTGAGATAATATAGGAGAGATCTCCCACTCTTGCAGGTTAAAAAAAAGTGACGACTAGCAACTTCTAGTGCCGCTAATATTTTAAAAGGAAGAAATCCCACCAGTTATATCAGAGTACAGACGTCAGGAGGAAATCTCATTATAAAGAACAGAGCAGTACAACTAATGGTCACATTACATTTGCTATTTTGCTTTTTAGGGTTTAACTGCCCATTGACATCCAGCAGCCTCTTTTCCAACTCTTGTTTTTTCTCAAAATTAAGTTCTTCTTTTGACTTCTCTGGTTTCTTCACTGTATATGAAATAAAGAGAGACATTAAGAGCTACATCAAGAGCTACATCCAAACCTAAAATAAATTCTAGTTAAACATATTGTGTAGAGTTTATCCATGATATATACACACCATGTTTTCTTGGTCTTTTCCTTAAACAAGCCATCACATATTTCTCTAGTTCTCTAAGTGTCGATGCTTTTAAAGTTTCAAAGTCTATTTCTATCTCATCAGGATTAGAGTTTCTCAGTGAAGGCTCTCTTGACTGTATTATATATACCACTTTTCCAAGCTTATCTCCAGGAAGTTTATTTATGTCCAAACTCAACTGCCTTTTTTCATCATAATTCATAGGCTTGGCACTATCCTCATCTTCTGATTTATGTGCCAGTGAGACTTGCTGCTTTGTTTTCTTTGACTGACTACAAGAGAGAGAGTTTACTGCATTGAGAGCAATTTAAAATAATTTGTCACCCACACAACCCTCACACTTACATATTTAAAGACAGTTTTTTCTTCAATTTCTTTTTTTGCTTTAGCTTTTTCTTCTTTTGATTCACATATTTGTGTTTGGATTTCTCTTTGCCTCTTTTCCCCTTTTTAGACTTCCCTTTTTTCTTCCTCAGCTTGGGCAAGGAGGTTTTGGCCAATGCCCGCAACTGCTGATGAACAGCTTTAAGCTGTCAAAGAAAAGAAGAAAGGAAACTAAGCATCTTGATAGTCATTACAGGAAAAATATTGGGAAGGGAAAAAACTGGTCCCGAAGGCCATGGGAGAGTTTTGGCAGCTGGGCAGGGATAGTAGGGTGTTTACTCAGTCGTGTAACAAGATTTTGGAAGGTAGAACAAACAGGATGAGGGGAGCTTTGGAAAATGGGGGCTTGCATTAAGAGGGAGAACATTTGTAGCAGCTACATGTGCACATAGGGGTTTTCTCTTGCCTCCCAGACTTGCAAAAAAAATTGTCTTCCTGCAGAAACATCCCAAAGCTCTTCTTTAGCATGAGGAACTTGGGGCTCAAGTGTCTCAGTGCATCGCTTGCCCACCTCCTGTGAGATGTTTCTGTGAAAGGCAGTCTAGAGAGGATGTTGGGGCAGAGTCTTCCACCTCATAAGTCCAAGCTATTTTGAAGTCTTGTAGTCTGGCCAGACAGTTATACTGAAACCAAGACAAAGTGCTGGCTTCAACAATCAGCTGGAACTATATAACACCTGCAGAGATAACACTCATGTTTTGTCCAAGTTAAAAAAAAAAAAAAAAAAGGGCAGGGGGGCAGATTACACTGCATAGGGATTAAAAGAGGAAAGGATGGATAAGAAGTCCCATCAAGACACATTAGCTCGACAGTTCACTGCAGAACAGTTAAGCAGAAGTAAGGGTGATTATTAATCTGCCTGCCCTCAGCAAAATGGAAAACACCACACATCTTGATGCTGTTTGAGAAGTTCGTTTCCAAATTAAGTAGCTCAGCACACGGAAATTTAGAGCTAAAACCCATCCACCTTTCATTAGATTTTGGAACTCTTCTCTGGACTTTTGCCAGAATTTGAGCATCTTGACACAGATGCAAAAAAGCCCAGTAATTGTCCTGATGGAACCTCACAGTGGCTATGCTCATTAAAATTCAATAAATTATATTTTTAAAAGAGTAAGATGATACTAAGATAGCCTTCATAAAGGGACTGCAATCAACACTAAACTGACAGAAAATAGAGGAGCTGTAGACGTTCCAACTTGAATTTTGGAAAGAGTTGAGTTTCAGTGGTGCAATTAATTTTTAAGTAACTTATCACTGATGCTTTCTTGCCCAGCAGGGAGACTGAGAATGTAATAGCCTTCTTTCATTCTTAGAATTTGGAGGTTGTGGATGAGAGAGTCTGCATGCAGCCTCCTCTTAAATTAGGAGTTGAAAAGAGTGTCATAGATTAATTACATTCCCTTAAATTTGGAATAAATTTTTAGATTTGACCTATGATCTTTAGAGTATGTTAGAATAATTCCTACTGATATTGTTCCTCAGACAGGCACACCCAGCAGTGATACAGTAGAAACTTCACAATCTTGTTTACAATAGTTTAATGTAGCCTAGCATCTTATTGACCTGCTTTCCACAAAACTTGAACATATTCATGATCATTTTAGGACAACTCAAAATTCAAAGACAAAACAAACAAAGCATTAGATTGCTCATCGGACTGAAAACCTGAAGGAGTTTCATTATTATGTTAGGCATTTAAGAGTCCAGGTCAGTGTGCCTGAAAGTAGTTAACATAGGATGGTGATAATTTATGAAGTGAAGTAGCTTTGAGAGAGTCTAAAGGCACAAAGGCAGCAAGGTATTCATGAAAGAAAAAGTCCTGGGAAGGACACAGTTAAAAAAGGAAGGGGTAATTGAATAGCCAGAGGCTAGAACTATAGCTCAGTAGGATCTGGAGTAAGCAAGAGAGCTTAAGGGCAAGCCTACACTATGGGGAGAAGTTGACCTAAGTTACACAACTCCAGCTATGTGAATAATGTACCTGGAGTCAACATAGCTTAGGTCGACTTATTGCGGTGTCTACACCACCCTGGGTCAACCATCTTACCCTTCTCATTCCAGTGGAGTACCAGAGTCAACGGGAGAGCAATCTGTGGTTGATTTAGCGGCTCTTCACTAGACCCACCAGTGGATCGATTGCCATAGCGTCGATCCCTTGTAAGCGTAGACATACCCCAAGTCAGTGGTTTTCAAACTTTTTTTCTGGCCACCCAGTTGAACAAAACTGTTGATGCCCATGACCCAACAGAGCTGGGGATGAGGGGTTTGGGAGGGGCTCAGGCAGAGGGTTGAGGGTACGGGGGCAAGGGCTGCGAATGAGGAGTTCAGAGTGTGGGAGGGGGCTCTGGGATAGGGCAGGAGGGGATCAGGGCTCTGGGAAGGGGGTGCAGGCTCTGGGGTGCGGCCAGGAATGAAGAGTTAGGGTTGCAGGAGGGGGCTCCAGGTTTGGGGGGGGGGGGACTCAGGGCTGGGGCAGAGGATTGGGGCATGGGATTACCTCCAGCGGCTCCTGGTCAGCAGCACAGCTGGGGTACAGAGGCAGGCTTCCTACCTGTCCTGGCACTGTGGACCACTCTGTGCCCCAGAAGCAGCCAGCAGCAGGTCTGGCTCCTAGGCAAAGGCACCGTTCTTCCCCTCCTCCCCCTGCCCACCTCCCATTGGCCGGGAACAGACCAATGAGAGTGCGGAGCCACTGCTCGGGGTGGAGGCAGTGCTCGAGCCCTGTGGCCCCCCGCATCTAGGAGCCGGACCTGCTGCTGGCCACTTCCGGGGCATAGTGTGGTGTCTGAACAGATAGGGACTAGCCTGCCTTAGCTGGGCAGCACTGCTGACAGGAGTTTTAATGGCCCAGTCGGTGGCACTGACCAGAGCCGCCGCAACCCAGTGCCTTCCATTCCGCAACCCAGTACTGGGTTGTGAATCACAATTTGAAAACCACTGCCCTAAGCGACTTGTCTTGATGCTAACTGGCTGCCTCTTCAACTGCTTGAGAGGGGCAAAGAGCCCAATTGGATTGGGGCTTCAGAACAAGGCAATACCAACTGGATTTAGGCACTTTTGAAATTTTAATCCAATGCATTTTAAAGAACAGGTAGCAGATATCCTATTCAACAACGTCTGCCTACTGAAGGCTCTGAAGCCAGTATGTAGAAAGTTAAGCCTGGGATAACTCAGTGGTTTGAGCATTGGCCTGCTAAACCCAGGGTTGTGAGTTCAATCCTTGAGGGGGCCATTTAGGGATCTGGGGCAAAAATTGGGGATTGGTCCTGCTTTGAGAGGGGGCTGGACTAGGGACTCCTGAGGTCCCTTCCAACCCTGATATTCTATGAATCTATCATCTCCCACAAAGTAACCACAGTGTAGTGTGCTACCACATAAGAAAATAATTCTGTACCACCACCCCAAATGCACACTTCTGGACATACATTTAAAAAAACTTCTTTACTTGGGTTCCTAGCACTTGGTTCTAGACCTTAGAATGGATACATATGAACAAGAGCCACCCAAGGCTATAATAGTCACGCACTTTGTACAGAGCATTGTTGCTTACTTGCTCCTGAAGCTTTGCAAGGCGCCTTGTTCTTTCCTCTTCTGAATCTTCGGATGATCTTTCTTCTGTGGAGTCATCACTGGTGCTTTCACTAGAAAAAGCACTTGCTATTTGTGTTTTGGGCTGTGATGGTGGTATACTTGCAACAGGTTCATCTGGAATTTTGGCAAATTGCATCTCAAAGATATCCTAAAATATAAATAAAAAATGTTGGGACCTCTTTTATAGAAGAGTTTTTCATCTTTACTGATTTCTTTGTATTGGTCTAGATGTCCTAGAGTAGTCACAGGTCACCTAGCACCCAATGATTTCTCTTCTATCTCCTATGCTAATTCTCCAAGAGCCATTACCAGAACAGCTCCACAGTGGGAATCTTGGTGGTCCAGTTTAATTTATTAAGTGATAACTCACCTGCAGTTTTCTTGCCATAGCAACCACTTCATGGTCTGGAGAGTTGTATTTGTAGCAATTCATAAACATTAATCTAATATCTGCAGCAAACGCTTGTGTATCTTTATATTCATAGTTATCCATTTTCTTCTATGAGGAAACAGAATAATGAAGTTGCTTTTTAGATGATATAAATTTTAAGCTACAGACTATGTATCTGGGGCTTAACACCAAATATAAAAAAGTCAAGAAAGATTGATACTTCCAGCATCAGAATAAATCTTGTGCAGTAAGGTTACCATACTGCAGAAGCTCCAAAACCATCATTAAAGAAAAAAAAAAACACCCCAACACACACACCACACAAGCTCATACATCACATAGCCTCTTCTGACTTAGAATATTCTGTTGCAAATATTAACTGTGAGCAATATAACTTTATTGAATTAAAGCTATGATACTAACAGGATCTGAATAACTAAACTTTCTGTTGTAGTACCAAAAAGCTTTAGCTAATGTTCAGTTATAGATTATAAAGAATCTACATTTGTTCTGCACCTGTCCTCTCTTTAATTTGTATTGTAACTCATGTAGATGACTGAAATACTCTAATAAATCCGGGCCAAGGTTTTGCAATAAATAAAAAATAAATATGGGCAGTTAAAGTTGGGTTCCCAGACCCTAATTTAGCTACCTAAATAAGTGGCCTAATTTTCAGAAGAACTGAGTACCTGACAGCTCCACTGAAGTCAATGGGAGCCATTAAGTTCTCAACTCTTCTGAAACTTAAGCTACTTATTTAGATAGCTAAATAAGAGTCTGGGAACCCAACTTTAGAAATCAATATTTTATAAAAATATGTATCCATTTTTTCAGTCCTTGACTACACTGTCTAAAGGACTTATTGTGTTTTTTATAAATGGGGACAAACATGACAGAGTCTGAATTATGGCCCTACCAATTAAGATAGGGGAGCAGTTAAGTTTAAGACAAAACAGGGAGCTTACACAGTTGAGACATCTGGGCGTTTGAGGTTTCAGATTGCATCATGAGAGCGAGTCTTGAAGGGCTAGAGTGATGCTTAAGTACTGGGAAAAGGATAGAGACTATCACCTGTTTATATAGAAGACTACTGTCAGCATATATAAAAAGTGACCCAAAAAGGTACTTTTACCTGTGCCCCAGTAGGTTTATACAGATAGGCTAGAAACTTGGAAAGCTTGCATCATGACTAGAAGTTTGCTTGAGTGAAAGTCTAACTGTGATGTAAGACCTCTTACTAATTTTTGAGCTCAGTTCACCCTACAAGTAAGCAAACTAATTACTTAAGAAGTTAATCAACAACATGAAATAACCGTAAGACACTATGTACAACAGGATATGCAGTCTTTGTGCCTAGATTTACTTTCCTTAAAGAACCAAGTCTTCATGACATTTTCAGATTCAATTTAAAAAGGTATATTTAATTTAGGACCATAAATCCCTTACACATGAGAATAAACTAGAGTTGTGAATCTAGCCAAAACCCCTTACCTTAATAGTTCCAAGGTCTATAGGGCATTTCGTGGTATCATGGTGGTCATTGAGCCCCAAAGCTGTAATGTCTACAGGTTTATAGAAAGGCCAAGCATATGATGCATGTTTCTTTGCAAACATTTCTTTAAGGATCTCACTACAATGCTTTAGTTGTTCTGATAACTGAACATTTTTGACAATTTCAAGTGGCTGTTGAGAATCTGGCAAGTCTTTCTTTAGAAGACTGTCTGGTACACTACATTCACTTTCTCCTCTACATGATATTTTAGCAACTTTTGGTTCATTAAGTGCTGGAGAAGATTCACAGCTTGCTGTGAATATTGTAGTAGTATCAGCCTTCCTTTTCACACCCTTTTTAACCTAGAAAACAAAAGTTCACACAGAATATTTCAAGTAACTAAAACAGCACAATTCCACTATAAATAGCAAAAGAGAAACTTTTTTGGTTTTTTAGACAAAAAGCTTCTGTATTTTTTATCCACAACTGTAGAACTTGTTTCTACAATTTTATATTTAAGACCTACATTTTCAGAAAAGTGTTACAAATCTAGCATCAAATGTAATACTTTCTTCTTTAGAGTTGGAAGGAAAGCGTACTACAGTTTAATCTATTTTGCGGTCACTTTTAAGTAGGGTAAAATCTCAAAAAAGTTACTAGATTATGAAGTTGACATAAGAACAGCCACCAGCAAATACAAAGATTGCTGCACTCTAGTATTTGAGGCCTAATTAGAGGCCATCAGTACAAGCTTTTAGCTCGTAAGTTTTGTCTAACATTGTGCTGCCGCTGGTTTGGAAGAGATACAATATATGCACTTTGCCACTAACTCACTAAGACACTCACCAGATACATATTTTTACTTTTCTGAAAAAGGTCTGGGAGAGAGCATGCATGTTTCCAGCTGGAATAGTTGAAACAAAGCTAGTTGATAGGAGATGGTTTGAGCTAACCAAAATGGCATGTTTTCACACACAGGTCTAGATAACAGCAATTGTTTTTGGTAGCTCATACAAACGAGTTGTTTAAAATAACTATTCTGTTATAGATTTAACAGGTAATCTGCTTATTTTGAAAAATCAAGTATTTCCATCATATCATGGACTTAGTTTACATTAAATCAGTTCCTTTTGAATATTTAATTTTGAAGTTTAGCAGAGATCTGTCCCCATATCTGGAAACTACCTTTAACTTAACATAAAGCAAAGCTACCAGTCTCTCAAACCATCTTTCTGAAAAACAAACACGTTCTTTAACTCATCTCAGCACAAAGAAAAGCAAAACACCCAGATTTAAATATGCAATAACCCTACATTTTGACTCAACCTCTGCCCTAAATACTGTAATTAGCGCTGCCCCACTTATTCGAGAGATCAGAAATTGTGTATAAAAAAAAATCTACATTTTATAGGATGCAAGATAAATAGGTTGTGTTCATCCACAGTGCTTTATGTTAAATGGTGTTCCATTAGTTTTGTGCATTGTGAGACACATTATACGTGGATGTACCAACTACTGCCCCAGATAGTATCAATCTACTTTCATTTAGAAGCCAGTATTCAAAAGGCAACTTACTTTTGATATAGGTAGTGTGGCTGACATTAAGGTAGTTGACTGAGTCATTGACAGAGGGGCTAGCACAGGCTGCTGTGGTACCGGAGTCATCACTTGAGGCTGCTTAACAATGCTTTCAAGTTGCTTCTGCAGTTGATTTTGCTTAGTGGTACAAACTCCTGAATCAGGCTGCTGAGCTCCTAATAAATCAAACCAATTTACAGAGATGTGTACTTTGGTGTCCCAACAGTTCCAGTCCTATGTTCTTACAGAAGAGATCTCCTAGGTCATCGAGTCCAGCCTCCTGTTATTGCAGGCAACTTAGTCATAATCCCATTAATGAATGTATCAAACCCCCATCTTTACATTTCCTTTCACAAAGCTCCTGTTTGTAGGCCCAAAGGCCACATTGTCTTATTTTCAACTGACCAAATACTTACCTGCAATTGGTGCTCTCTGAAGCTATACATAAGTGCAACAATTACCACTCTTGCGTTCATGCTCCTAATGCAAGTCCAGATGGGGACTCTCCCAGTTCAGATCTGAAGTGCTGTTTCAGCAGCGGAGCCATAGTGCCCCCCAAGAGTCTTCAATACAATTAATGCCCTTGAAAAAAACTGAACTAAACTATTTATCTTTGAATGCAATAGTTAGTTGAGTCATCTTTTTTCCAGAGATACAGGCTTTTTTAGGTTTCTATTTTTGGAAATTGAATTTCTCCATTGAGGTCTGCCATTTGGATTTAAAAAAAAAAAGTGGACTAGAATAGAAGTAGTACTGGAACTAGGAACAGATACCAGATAAACAGTCTGTGACAGAAATCCTCTCTGTAATTTAAGATTTACTATTCCAAATTCCAATATTCCAAAATTAAGTTTACTAATTTGGAGAAGCACTTAGCTTGGAAAAGGGGTTCTGTAAGACCACTAGTTAATAAGCTAATTATTAACTTGAGGAGTCCAAGCAACAATGATTTATAGTTGTGTACTCCAGGTGGCTGCCCTCATAAATCTCCCATGTGAAGTCTGATTGAAGGTTCACTGTGGAAGCAGAGACTTCTTTAATGTGACCCTAAAAATCAAAGGCCTGCCAAAGGTGACAATAAAATATTCACTCTGCCAAACATTAAGAGATGGTTCTCAAAGAGCAGAACACGTTGAGTGGTAAGCAAGAGAGGTTGGGTACATTATCGCAGGACATTAGTTACTCCACATGAAGTCCTTAAGATCTTTGAAACAGATTGTGGAAGAGAACCTCCCTGGGATGGATGCAAGGGCGTATGAGTAACCTTGATAGGTGACTTATTGAAACTGAATCTTGATACCAGCTCTGAAAGTAGTGAGATGCATTTACAGTATCACCTCGTTAATGAAGAATTTAATGTAAGATGGAATGGCACCAAAATGGGGCACCAAAATGACTTCTTTTCCTGCACAATTTTCTCCAAGAGGATGGAAAGGAAATCTGGAGTTATCCCTAGAAGCCAACTTTCTTCCTAGCCACCACTTGTATAGACTGCCAGGGTAGCATGGCTGTTGTCAGCACTGGTCATTTTTCACTGCCACCCTAGCCCTTTATAGGCATTTCAAGATGTCTGGCCTGGTCCTGTTTAGTATCAAAAGTAAGGATAAGCCTTTCTTAAAGAGAAACTAATATTTTCTTAGGGAGCTACATGCAGGAACATCAGTAATTTCCTCAGCACAAGTGCTAGCCAAATGCACCATGAAAGTTTAAACATTTAAAGTGCCTAATGTTCCAAGGATACTTTGTATCTAGATTAGGCAATAGCCAGGCCGTGGTGGCACATACTTTTGAGTGAACTGGAGAAGTGTGGCATTTGTGTAGACATTCAACATAGTGAAGGAGTACTTGTGGCACCTTAGAGACTAAGAAATTTATTTGAGCATAAGCTTTCGTGAGCTACAGCTCACTTCCATTGCATGTATCCGATGAAGTGAGCTGTAGCTCACAAAAGCTTATGCTCAGATAAATTGGTTAGTCTCTAATGTGCCACAAGTACTCCTTTTCTTTTTGCGGATACAGACTAACATGGTTGCTACTCTAAAACCTGTCAACGTAGTGAAGATCCCTTATTCTGCTTCACATGAGACTTTCAAGCATGGAGGCTTATTGTCTTCTAGGGAGCACTGGGGAGACCAAAAAAGTAACATGGTAAGATAAAAAAAAATAGTAAGTCATGGTCCACCTCAAAGCAGACTGTTTTATTCCTCTAGCAGACACCACACCAGGTCATTTTAAGACACCATAGGGATGCTTAGGGTCAGTTCTCAGGATGGGCAAATAGGGCAGTCACCTCAGGCATGCCAAAATGCAATGCCACTTTTTTTTTGGCTGTGCTCCCAGTTAGCTTGCCCTTTTTTATTTCTGGCTCAGCTGCTTGAGGGGTGGGATGCAAGAGGGCAAGGCACAAAAACAATTAGGGCCTCTCCTTGGGATGCTTCTCAGATATACTTGAGATAAAAGGAAACGGGGAATCCTCAAGTGTCTTCTTTCTTCTTCAAAGTAGTATAAGTGTTTGACAGAGGATTAACTCCAGAAAACATGGAGCCATGAGGCCTACACCATAAGTACAGCAGTAACAGAATATTTAAATACAGGACACTGCACGACAAATTTACACAAGTTTTGGTAGATAGCCATCAAGCGAACAGGGTGATACAGCAGAGGCAGCTGAGAGCAGTGCCCCTTTACTGTCAGAAGTGAAGGAGTCATAGGAGGCAACTGGGGATAGGGTGCTGCAGCTCTAATTAAGACATCACACAGTATCATTTGTTAGAGATAACAGCTCAAGACTGCTGCTCTACTGCCAAGTGCACAGACCCAAGAGTTGTCACCTGTGTCATCATGTATCTATCTTGTAGTTTCAAGGCAAATCCAACATAATGTACTTTTGATTCCTACAGAGAGAATACATTCTCACTTATCTTTCCTGTTAAATGTGTCTCTCTGGCAACATACAATACCCAATACCCTTGAAAACAGACAAGTATGAACTTGTGGTAAACTATGGTAAACGTTATGTATAATGTTTAATAAAGGTATGACTCACAAAGCTCCAAATATGTAGAGTTGGGGTCGGGGGGACGGGACGGACGGACAAAAAAAAAAAACCAAACAAACAAACAACCTGTTTGGACAGCATGATGGTAGAGCCATTTTATGAGAATCAGATTTCCAAACGGATACCCAGTTCATGGCCAAAGTATATATCCTCATTGTGAAAGGAAATGAAGAGCAGCATATTGTTATATATGAGTTAATAGTTCTACATTTATAAGTTGCACTTTCACAACAAAGATTGCAGTACAGTACTTTCATGAGGTGAACTATAAAATACTATGTTTTGTTTATTTTTACAGTGAAAATATTTGAAATAAAAAATATACACTTTGTATTCTATGTTGTAATTGAAATCAATATATATGAAAATGTAGAAAAACATCCAAAATATTTAATAAATTTAAATAAAAATTTAATTTTGGATTATTAAATAAATTAATTTAAATTAGTATTCTATTGTTTAAAGTGCAGTTAAAACTGTGATTAATTTGGAGTTAGTCCCATGATTTAACTGCGATTAATCAACAGCCCTATTATAATACATTTGTTTATATAGCACCTTTAAATCAGCAGATCACACTTCTGTGAAGTGCTCAGAAGCATCTTAATTTTACAGAAAGGAAGAAGCAGAGGTACAAGAATACTAAACAATTTTATCAGTGACAAATAGTGATTTAGCGACAGAGATAAGAATAGAAAACCGGATCGCTCTTGACCTGCACACCTCTGCTCTCACACCTGGAAGAAGGCTAACAGACTTGCATTTCCCTTTTCAAATAGTTAATATTTTACTTTTAAACTTCCTAACTTAAAAGTATATTAACTAGCTTACAATAAAAAAAACTAAGTCATTTATGGAACATATGCACTGCACTTCTGCTCCTTTCAGGAAGCATCTTTCATCAGATGGATAAACAATTTTTCCTAAAACTATACTACTGTACCTGTTAACTGTCAATGCAGAGAATGAGCTAAACCTCAAACTCATGTCAAAAGGTAGAATTTAAAAAAAATAAGTTATTCAGCTAGAACTGGGGAGGGTATTTATTATTGGCATATTGAACCTGCTTAAACTTTGAAGCAATGATTTTTTGCCTGTCTACTGAACTCCAGGAAAATCAAGTGACAGTTGTCATTTTGTGAAATACAGAGTCCTCACCCCAACTGCTCCACAGTAAAGTTTAGTAGCATTAGGTTTTAGTCTAAATAGTAAACTGCTTACAGTTGCCGTAAAATTTTACCATTCTATGGACAAGAATATCAACTCTTCCACAATTTGATGTTTACAAAAAAAGTCATAATTAAAATTTGAACTGTTAGCAAGTTAATATATTAACACTGTATGTAGTCTAGTATTTACCTTCTTGTTTCTTTCCTTTTCTTTTCCCTTTGTTGACTATCACTATTCTCTCTTCTGGAGGCATTTGTGCCACTTTCTGCATAAATACTTTTTCTAGCTCTTGTGCCATAAAAACGATGTCATCACCTGGCTGCAAGATATAATTATGTTTGTAAATCACAGAATATAGGCAATATACTTTAATATACAATACAATAATTTAATATACAATGTACAAGAGTATTATGTTCAGTAGCATTACAATACACCCATGTTCTGTAGCATCGGGGAGTACAAGTTTACTGTCAATCTGAAGTTATTACAGAACAACCTTAAAAGGGTTACATAACCCACGCCACCAGTTCCACAACAAATTGTGATTATATTGAAAGACTAAATGCCCCGCCACCCCTTTATTATTTCCTTCAATATTTCCCCAACCATCCCACCCCTACACGGAGACAAGTTTCAGACTGTTCACTTGAGCATCCTTCAACTCCCGAGGATACTGCAATCAAGTATTAGAACAAAATCACCTGAGTTTGCCATGCATAAGAAGCATCTTAAAAGTTGCTTCTTCCCTTGGTCCGTCACACACTATTTTGTCAGTCATTATCCATTGCAAAGCTCATGTATTCACCCAGCTTCCTGAAGGAGTGGAATGTGGGATTCAGGATAATCAGGAGCGTGTGTACATGCGTCTTACTTATGATAAGCTTTTTAATTGTTAGACATGTTTGTTGTGCGATTACATGGGCTATGTTGTAGTGGATTTGTTGGTAGGATCCTTGTGTGGGGACATTTATCCTTTCAATGAATTGTACAGATGGCTAGAGATTGACTAGGTGCTTTTGGTAAGTTTGAATAAATACTAGCAGCCTATTTAAATGAATGTTTTCCATTAAAATTCAGAGACACGTTAGGTTATTTGGCTGTTACAAGTAACAAAATGCATCAATAGCAAACACTTTCAGAATTGGGTATATGGCCTACTGATCACTATCATTTACTACAGTCCCCTCTTTTTAGCATTTTACATACCTTGTTATACACATAGCAGTTCGTGAACATAGTTTTAAAGTCTTCAATGCAGTCTGTAGCTTTTGTATAATAATTATGTTCCAAACGCTTTTTAATTGTGCTCAAGTCCATGGGTTTCTTAATGATATTATAATAATCCTGTGGTTTTGAAAAAGATGGTTAAAACTATATTAATTTGTGAATTTAATTAAAGATTAATAAGTATTACTAGAACATGAGTGCTCTTGTACATTTGAGGACAACCTGTTAACCTTAACAGGAGAACAGAACTACTATGTTGCTAAATTTGGAATAGGAACATTCTATTAAAAGAAAGCTTTCCTTCAGGTTTAAAATTACCATTAAAAGCATCGTAAGCGCCACAACAGCAGAGGTATTATGGAACTTAATTTCTTTGTACTCTTCCCCTTGCAGGATAGATTTTTTAAAAAAAGTATTAATTTCAATAGTATTATTGAATAGGACCATGTGGACAAATGACACTTCTGCTAGGAATAGTAGTTCTCTTGTATAGCACTTTTCATCTGTTGGTTTCAAAGCAATTTACAAGTGAAAATAAGCATCCCCATTTCCCAGATGGAGAAATGGAAGCAAAGACAGGCAAAGAGACTCGCACAAAATTGCAGGTAGCGCTGGGACTAGAGTCTAGGTCTCTTGATATTTGTCCAGTACGTTATCCATTGGGCCATGGTGGTTCCCTAAAGACAAAGGTGAATTCAAGTCTTAGCTGACTGACCGTTTAAAAAATATATATCCTAGTAGAATTGCTCACTTCCACCTCTGGGAATTAGCACCCAGTTGTTAATCGCTAGGTTAGAAGAAATCAGAAACATTCAACAGTTTTACACTCCTATTAACTAGGTTACATATGCTTCAAATAATTAAGTTAGTAATGACAACCTCTGAAGCACCTATAACTAGAGCAATTCATCCACTGGAACAAAAGGCTAAATACATCTTAATAATGTTTAACTGTCTGTTTAGCAACATGACCAGAACAACATTTAAACGGGCACAGCTAAAAAGACAGCTATTGTCAAAATACTGATCTCTTCTGCCACCTCCTGTCCCCTTTTTGTGTCAGAAGGGTTAAGTTAGATACTCACTGTCCTTGTAATGAAGCCAGACAGAATTTATTGTAGATTATGCAAAAGTTGAAGCTACACTATTTCTGAAAGTATGTGTTAAATTCTAAGTGGCTGCCTTAGAAATTTGAAGAGGCAGAACTGTCCTGAGGCTAACTACAATTGTTGCCACAACTTTGAATGAATGACCTACAATATTAACCTTAAGTGACAGCTTCTCCTAAGAACAAAAACAAAATACAGACGACAGTCACTTTGACAGTGCTTTTGGACAAACTGACCAAATGAGTTTGTCAAGAGAAACAGATATGGATAAAGGGTTTTGTCTGCTGCTCCAAACAAAACAAATTGCCTGGAGGGTCTGATTTGAGAGAAAATGTTAAAAGAACTAAGTATTTATACCATACCTTGGTTAAGTAACAACTACGTAACGGAAACAATTTATAAATGGCTGGTACATGTAGACACTAATGAAAGGCAAGTTTAAGGGTAATCCAAGGAGAAACTTAACTGGGTTAAGAAATTATAAACCTAAGAGCAACATCTTGTAGCATATTAAAAGTCTAAGGGCTGTTGTGGTGGAAGCCCCATTCCTTGACAAAACTAGATTAATACATAACCCTCCACCTCACAAAAATCAGAAAGAATGCAGGAGCATCCTGAGGGAGTTCAGAGTTGGGTAACAATAACGGTTCAAGGCATAAAACCTCATATTGAGAGAGACCAGGATTGCATACCCTCAAATGCAAAAATAAGAGTACACAGTATAATGAATGTTATTGAGAAGATACATCAAACTTCTGTTCATTCTGTCTCATAATACAAGAAGGAACAGTCAGTGACACCAAATTGTGCGGAGAGTTTAGAACTGATGAAAGAAGCACTTTTCCCACACAATACACAGTTTGCTTGTGGAACTCATTGCCACAGGATCTCATTAAGACCAAGAGCTTTACAAGATGAGAGTTATATCCCGAGTTAATTGTAAACAACAAAGAAACCAGAGTTTGGGCAGGGATAAAAACCACTCATACTTCAGTGCATAATCCAAAAACTATTCAGAGTTAGCAGAAAGCTTTATTTGGGGACAAGTTATCCCATAATCACCTGTCAGGGTTTATTACACCTTTCTTTGGCATTGTTCAGAAAGATCCTTAGTGGCACACTACTAGACCACTGGTCTGATTCAGTCTGGCAATTCCTAGGTTTCTAAGCCTTCTTTGGTAGGGTATCAGAAAGATGTTGGGTCATCTAGTTAATTTCCATGCTTTTTATTTTTATGATGAGCGATTTCGGAAAATAAGTATTCATTGGTCCAGACAGAGACTGATGCTATGACCCAGCACTTAGGGCACCCACCTAGGGTATGGGACACTCATGTTCAAGTTCCTGCTCCAGATCAAGTGGGAATTCAAATCTGGGTGGCCCACATCCCAGGTGAGCAGCCCAACCCCTGGGCTGTGCCTGGACATATGCGTTCGTGAGAGGGCGTCTATAGTTCAAGCAAGAATCAAACCATCAAAAACAGCCCTTCATATCTCAAAGACTTCCCAACTGAGAAATGTGGCTAGCCTTCTTTTAGGAGTGTGCATACATTTATAAGTGATTTTAAGAACGGAATATTGCCTTTTTAAGTTTCTTGAAGGTTATCTAAGGGTGCCTGCTTTTAAAATGTAGCACTACATAGAAAATGAAAGTTAAAATCAGAAGTTCGGTCTTTCACTTGAAAGTCAAGAAGACTTTAGATTACCACAGTGAGCTAGTCTGGTCAACTAATGCGTAATTCTGTATTTGAACTGGAGATTTTGACAGGACAGACATAGGGAGAAACCAGACTATCCTAGTGAGAAAATGACCACACATTCTTAATTCTTTCACCACTCAAACCAGTTAAAGTCTCAGATTGCCCCTACGTCAAGGCCCCAAAAGTGTGAGTGAAAGCCCCACAGCAGGCATACGGTGTTGAGGAAGTCTGATGAGGTTTATTTTTTTAAACCCTTAGTATTTGTATTCATTTTCTCTGCAGTGTAGAAAAAAAAAGTGATACACCATCAAAGTATAACAGTGAAAGAAGCTTATGAGCATCATCGGTCAGTTTTACCACCTTCCTGTCAGAGACACATGATGATTACAGGAAAAAAAAGTAATCCATTAATTTACTGGTGTAAAGTGTTAATTGGACATTCCACAAACAAGCCCAAATGTCAATCAAACATTCTCTAAAACGCAACATATCTTCAATAAAGTCAATATTTTCTCATAAATCTTACATGCATAAAAGTAAATATAGCATATTAAACTGTTCCAAAGGTGCCATACTTTCAGATTATGAAGCATTAAGCGTCAACCTCTTAGGGACGCATCAGGGGTGTTGACACTATTCTCTGAACAAAAGTTTGAATGGACACATAATGCTCTATAAACAGTTTAAAAGATGTCAAGAAACTACTGACTTTTAAGAGCAGGTGTCTTTAGAAGGGTACCCCACTCCCATTCACCAAGAGAAAGCTTTTTCTAGTGGGAAATTCATCTGGATTTCTCTTTCTAATATTTCTCTTGTGCACAGCAGGTCACTGACTATCTTTAAACCATTCCCACCAGAAACTCAAATGAGGCCTTAGAACAGACAAACATAACATTAAATCAAGATGGTATTTGGATAAGTTGCATCAGATTTTCAGTGGTAGAAACTATTTGGATTTTTTCCACTCTGAAGAAAGCAACTGCAAGATCTCAGCTACTTATCGGGTACGATAATGTTTACAAGCATTATTTCCTGACAATTCTTATCATAATATAGCGATGGAGGAGTAAAGGCCTGGGCTAAGAGTTTGTGCTGCACCTCTAAGAAGTGCAGCCCAGAACTTTCAGCTCAGGGGTTGCTGGGTGGGGTGGTTTAAGACCCCTTTATAGACTTCCCCATCCTTTGGGGGCTGAAATACTTCTGGCATCATGTAGACAGTCCTAGGGGCCTAAACTGCAGCACTGCCCAGAATCTCTGTGGAGGAACAGATTTCATTTTTTAAAGCCAACATTTCAGTTTACCTTTAAGATTTCACTTGCTTATTCTTCAACATATTATAAGGCTTAATACAATACTCAAATGGAGTCTTACAGGAAGGTTTAATGCTGCAGCATCTACAGGCTGGTGAAATGGCCAGGAAAAGTTGTGTCTCCACATAGCTTTCATGACCACCCTCTGTAAATATTGAAGTTGATTTGTTAAACAGCCAGTTTTTTTAGGATTGATATATTCTGGTGGTGGAGGATTAACAATAGTTGGATACTGTTGATTTGGAACAGACATCTTTAGTGAGTTTCACATGTTCCAAGGTCTGTTATAGCATCAATCTGTGAAGAAAAAATAAGTTTAAATATAAATTATAGTGTATATATTGTGGGACAAATCAAGTCAGGAAAAGTATAAGCTCTCAGTACATAAGGTGAAAGACACTGCTACATGCAATACTAAACACATTAGTTTTTAGTTTCTTTAATGAAACAGTTCATTGGATGCTTCTTTAACAGTGATAAGGCATACTTGAGATCACAGAAATGACGTTTTATAACATTACTGTCCAAGATAGAAAACCATTAGAAACCACTGATGTTTTACTTAGTTTAGGAGTGCTGTTATACCTGAAGAGTGTTTACAAAGCCATCTGAAACCCAGGAATAGATAGGATACTGGAAAAACCTGAAATTATGGGTCTGGATAACTCAAACATCTAGTTAATTTTCTGCTTATACTCATTCATTGGCCCAACTTCTGTCGGTGAGGGAAACCAGCTTTTGAGCTTACACAGACCTGAAGAAGAGCTCTGTGTAAGCTCAAAAGCTTGTCTCTCTTACCAACGGGCCAATAAAAGATATTACCTTACCCACCTTGTCTCTAATATCCTGGGACCAACACGGCAACAACACTACACACACTCATTCAAAAAGAGTTGCAGAGAAGTTTTCCTAGATTTGAAATTCAGGTTAGAAAACTCAGCTGTTGTATAACACTGATTTTTGCTATAGACATGTCAAGATTTTCAT